TCTGAAGCACTGACATCTGGCTGGACGTGATCTTCCACAAAACCCTAAACCCTAAACCCTAAACCCAACCCCAACTTCCCAGGGCCTCATCCAGCCCGGGGGCTCGGAGAAGCTCGAGCCTTCCCGCGGTGGAGGATCCAAGGGTTTCCCAGAGAACCCAAGACCTCTTAATGAAGGAATATACCCTTAAATCATAATATTAAGGTCCCTATAATTTAAGGCATATTCCTTAATTAAGGGGTATTGGGTTCTCTGGTTTCTTTGAAACTTCCAGGCTTTTGGGTTTTTGGGTGCTTTAGGGTTTAGGGTTGAGGGCATTTTAGGGTTTAGGGTCGAGGGTATTTTAGGGTTTAGGGTTTAGGGTCTTTGAGGGTTTAGGGTTTAGGGTCTTTTAAAGTTTAGGGTATCTTAGGGTTCAGGGTTGAGGGTATTCTTGGATTTCGTGTACTTTAGAATTAGGGCTTGGGGTCTCTTTAGGGTTTAGTGTACTTTAGGGTTGAGGGCTTAGAGTCTTTTTAGAGTTTAAGGTACTTTAGGGTTTAGGGTCTTTCCGGGCTAAGGGCGTTTTAGGGTTTAGGGTCTTTTTAGCGTTTAGGATGGTTTAGGGTATTTTAGGTCTTAGGGTTTAGAAGTCTTTTGGGTTTGAGTGTTGTAGGGCTTGGGGTTTAGGTGGCTTCGTGGGGGTTTAGGGTCTTCTATGGGGGGTTTCGAAGATTCTGCAGTAGTTGCAGCACATTTCTGGGTCCCACATACTGACGTTTGGCCAATACCATTCTCTTTATTTCTTTCACCCTATCTATCTATCCATCTATCTGTCTATGTATGTATAGGTCCAGGACCTTACCCTAAACCCTAAACCCTCAACCCTGAATGGTGGCTCTCAACGCGAAGGGGTGCCTCCTGGCACGTGCAGTCCTTGTTGGCAGCTTCGGACCTGCAAACCCAGTTCTGTCAGGATGAAACCCTGCAGCTTCCTACAATCCTACAGCTAAAGTTGTACCCAGAGAACCCAACACGCCTCAATTAAGGAATATACTTCAAAGCATAATATTAAAGCCCCTATAATTTAAGGTATATCCTCTGGGTAAGACTCTAAGCTTTTCCTGCACCTGCTTGCCACGCGAGAGCTCAAACACCCGATGGCAACGCGCCTGCAACTTCGGCTGCCATGATGGAGCTGCGAGACCATGCCCCAGTGAGACTACGCAGGTACAGCTACTTGTGTAATATTTGATGTTGTGGGACACTTCGCAACAGACGTGTGTAAATGGATAGATGCAATTGGGAACTGCGATAGTTGGTGCTGCCGCGCGCATGTACTTGAACTTGATTGCACTGACGACTTCGTAGGCATGGCCACTTTGGTGTGCCATCTGCTGCCTCTGATGTATGAGATCGGCAAAACAAACAAAGTTGTGCTTTGGTAAGCAACTGACGTATGCCTTGATAAGCTCCATGGCAAGTGCCTCCAGTATTTTACAACAAAGACTATCAGCAACCCTGGCTGGAGGCAATAGCGAAGGCTTCTAGGAACGAACTCTACGCCCGAACAGTGCACCCTTGCTGGCCCCGAGGCGTGCGCCCGCAAGGTTGCTGGACGCAGACTTCTGGAGATGCAGCATTTGTGGACGCAGAGCCCCGGCAAGTGCCCCCCGATTAAGGAGTGGAGATGGTTTCTTCGACCAATCCAAGCTGACCACAGCCACCTCTTGCACGATGCCGGACTGTCTTTAGTGGTGGTGGTGGTGGTGGTGGTGGTGGTAGCACTTGTAGTAGTCGTCGTCGTTGTAATAGTAGTAATAGTACTATAGTAGTAATAGTAGTAGTAGTAGTAGTAGTAGTAGTGGTAGTGGTAGTGGTAATAGTAGTGGTAGTAGTAGTAGTAGTAGTAGTAGTAATAGTAGTAATAGTAATAGTAGTAGTAGTAGTTGTTGTTGTAGTAGTAGTAATAGTAGTAGTAGTAGTAGTAGTAGTAATAGCAGCTGCTGGTGGTGAAGTTGCTGCTGTTGCTGTTGATGCTGCTGCCGCTGCCGCTGGTTTCCCGCGCTGTCGGTGTTGTTGTTGTTGTCGTTGTCATCGTTGTCGTTGTGATTGGTGGTGGCAGTGCTGCTGCTGCTGCTGCTGCTGCTACTGCTGCTACTGAAGACTTTGCTGTTGGTTCTGCTGTTGGCCCTTGTCGTGGTGGTGGTGGTGGTGGTGGTGGTGGTGGTTGTGCTACTGGTGCTGGTGCTGGTGCTGCTGCTGGTGGTGGTGGTGGTGGTTTTGGTGGTTCTGCTGCTGCTGTTGCTGTTGTTGCTGTTGTTGCTGTTGGTGCTGATGTTGTTGTTGCTGCTGTTGCCAATGTCTCTTGCAATAGTAGCAGTCATAGGTATCGTGATAGCAAGTAGCAGTCATAGGTATCGTGATAGCAAGAGTATTGGTAAAAGTACTAGTGATAGTGACCGTAACACTGGGATAAAGCGGCGCATGCCACTTTCAAGTGAACAACACTATGTCCTGTTCAAGCGGGGCCCCTTGCGAAAGGTTTGCATTGTGCACAAATCAAACGGCACAAACGGCAGACACACATTGTCATGGGTGGTTCTCCTGTCCCCACTCAATATAAACAGGGCCCACGCAGCAGGTCATCCCGACACAGATCATCTTACAGGAGCACTGGGCTTCGTTGCTTCAAGCTGCGAAAGCCCAATGCGCGACAAGCCAACCAACGAATTTCGCCAAGCTGCAAAAGGTACCTGGCCAGGGGCATATGTCACCTGCCAGGACAAGGTGTGACAGAGTGACGCGACACGATCAACCCTTACAGTGCCGCTCCAGCACCGCCTTAGCCGCAAGGCTTGCAGGCTTGAGGCTGGACTCGCCGGCGGAAGCCCCGTCCTAGACTCTTCTCACACAGCTGGACAGCTGCGGCTACGGGCTCAACCCACATCGGAGATGGACAGAAACTTGCGCTTCCCACTCTCTTCTGTCTTCCTCAAACATCCGTGCAAACTCAACGTGGTCGGTGAGATTGATCAAGCTGCACTGGTGGGATACAAACCAACTTTGTCATGCGACGTAGAAACATCATTTCACTGAGAGCTGGCTGCCGTGCTGTGTCCGGTCTGGCATCAGGGATCACTACACTGCTACTGCGCATGTTGTCTGTCCTTCCTCTCCAACACGTCCGTCATCATGTAGTTCTTGAAGTGTCGCAGGAGCGTGACTTTCTTCTTCAGCTCCTTCAGCTTCAGCTTGGGCGTTGGGTGCATGAGCGGCGCAGGACGCCTAGCTGCCTAGCTGCTCTAGATACTTCTAGTTAGCAGTGAGCTTGACTTCCCGGTGGTGCACTGAGGGCGCTCTGCACTCTGGACGACTATCCACGCGAACCAGCAAGGCAGCAAGTCAAACATTGTGACTATGCACAGGCTCTGGGTAGGCCTCTGGGTAGGTGTCCCAGTGATAGGTTGACCGTTCTTCGGCCTTTTCTTGCGTCCGGCGCCTTGGCAAGTGAGAATGGGCGTCCAACAAAGCGAACCAAGCTGGACTGAAGGCCGATCCTGATAGAAAAGTAGAAGCCGCGTGCCACGTCGATGCATGGACGCTCTTTGACTCTTTAACTTAAAGAAGGCTCGCGCAAGCCTGCACAACAGATCATACACAATTTGCAGACGGTATGCCGTACATGCCACAGTAAGAGCTCTCCCATGCTTTGGCTTTTTGTTGGTTGTGCCGACCATATGCAGGCGGACAGGCCTCAGTCTGTGCCACAGCTCAGTCTGTCCAGGACGTTGCAGCAGCAGGTCAAAAAAACGAGACCGGTTTTTCAGCTCCACGACATGAAGCGCAATCCCGTGGACCAACTGCCGCAAGGTCAAGAAGGGCTGCGAGACAAACCACGCACTTCGCATTGAAAGGCAGGGATGGCACGGGTACCGGGGAGAGGTGCCAGAAGTCAGGGGAAGCTTGGTCAAAGATTACGATTTCTGGATATTTCTGGCCATTAAACTGATTCTATCCTTGTTCGACCCGAGACCCCCTTCACTGCACTGGGCCTGTGTGCGTTGCCGCAGTATGCACGGAGTATTTGCAGCCTCTTCCGGACCCTGTCCCCCAAGAGCCGTTGTAGTCTTTGTCTCACGCCCTGAGCTGGGACTGCCGTGGCGGCACAAGTGCTTCGGCTCAAAAGTTTCAGGAAACTGTCGACATGAACAAAGCCAGCTAATGCCGGCGACTAGAAGAGACGCGTCGAGCACATACTACACGAACATACACGAACCACCCAACTCAACCCTCAGATCTCTGACTGTTCGACCAACACAGCAGACTGTAGGGCCGGAACGTCACGTAGTCAAAGTGTGTCCCACCCGGCACCTCGCAGAATCAATCCCGCCCCTTGGTGCCTTTTGTGTCAACGGAGATTGAGCACACGGCCAACACAATCTTTGTGGAATCATTGAAGTGGACTCCAATGGAGCCGTCAGACAGAACATATCCGACACCATACCTCGCAGGATTTCAGCAGCTCCAGCGGTATGCACCACTCTGATACTGCCTGTAACGGAGAGCCAGCATCTTCCTGCAGCCTGCAGCGGTCTTGGCGCCTGACTTGCTTGCGTAGTCCACCCACTTCGTAACCTCAATACATGTGCTGCGATGAGCTTTAGCCAGTCAGGTCCGCAGCCCACGATAAACCAGCTAAGAAGTTGACCCAAACGTCCGGCAAATTCGAACTGCTTTCCTGCGCAGGGTCTTACAATAGTGGAGCTGAGTGCCAACACGGCAATCGAACTAACACATACATACATACATACATACATACATACATACATACATACATACATACATATATATATACACATACACACAGCAAAACAAACAACGACACACAATCTCGGCCCCTCAATAATACATACCCTCCAGCCGTAGAAACACGACAATTCGAACACGAACAACCTGACGCACCAGTCTGCAATGCTTGCAACATGCTTGAGAGCAACAGGATGAAGATCTCGCCTGTGTTCGGTCAGGCCGCTCAGATCTAGCCCGATGACTCTCTTTCGGTTGCGTCTCGCGAGACTGCAGCACCTGTGGCACCTGCATTTACAAGCTTGAAGCGCTTCTGACTTTCTGCATCTTATATTTTCTAGCACCCAGCAGCGGCATGGCGGAACAGCACTGGCATCCAACTTGCAGCATTTCAGCCTTCCGAGCTGATGTCATTGGGCTGACCAACGCCTAAACAACAGGTAGACATCGAGATTATGCTGGAGCTGCATTGCTTGAGCAGAAGCTTCTTTGGTTCGGACCTCTTGCCGGGGTGTGGCCTGCCGTCAGGCATCGCAATGTGTCGTATCAGTCAACGGATCGGGAACCATGCGCTATTGCACGCGCTTGCATTTGCTTGATCGCACTCCCCTAATACCCCCTAATTGCAGTAGTAGAGCACTCACAGAATTCTCGGAGTTTAGCAAGCTTTTTCAAGTACAACTGTAACTTCCTCTGACACGGCGAGTCGATGACTTTGACACGACACCAGAAACCCATCTGCCAAACTGCGTCTTGCCTCCAATCGTAGTGCCGGGGACGAACTTGCATCCTGCCGGTGTCACGGATTGTCGCGGACCGGCCGCAGAGTCTTGCCAACATCTCAGGGCAGGACGGGGCAGGCCACACGTGCCGAGGGCCGCCTGTGGCAGTTGCATCTCTGAGCCCGGACGCTGAATGCAGTTCGGGCCTGCGCTCAAAGCTTAGCCTGTTCTCCACAGACACGCTTTCATGCACTGACCTGTTGCCTTATCGCATTGTTTGAACCCTCAATTTGCAAGCAGAAGCCTAATGCCCTACTGAGTGCTGCCCCTAAGTCGCCTCACGCCGTCGAAAGTCGCTTCAAGGCCACGTTACCCCATTCTGATGCGCGAACCGGCGAACATTACATCAAAGCCATTAATTCGCCGAGGCCACAGGCCTCAAGCATCTTGGGGGTTAACTCAGTACCCTCCACATCCCTGCAGCCCGAAAGTTTAGTGACACCCGCTGGCCCACAATTTCGACCCCCCGCCTCGGCTCCCGTCCTGCTCCCACAGCCTTGCTCCCCCCCCCCCCCACCCTCCTTTCTGGCTTTCTGGTCCTTTCCGACAGTTTTCTGGTCTCCCCCTTGCCCCCAACATGGATCCGCTACTCAGTGCCCATCACCTGAAGCCTCCTTTTTCCAGCCCGAAAGTCCAGTAATTTGGGGTCCAATTTCGACGCCCCCTCGCCCCGGCCCCCTCTTCCTACGCATCTCCCACCCCCCTTCCCCGGTGCTGCGACTGCTTCTAACCAGTAAAACTTCTTGGCTCGCATGGGCTATCCCAAGCAACATGAATCCAGTACTTAGTACCCACTACCTAATCCTCCTCCCGGTCAGCCCAAAGTCCAGTTACACCGACTTTCGGGGTCCACCCCTCCCCCCCTGCTGCTGCAGCTACTGGTCTAGTACTACTACTGCAGTTACTGCTCCTGCTACAACCGCAACTGGTACTACTATTTCTGCTTCTAGTCCTGCTGCTGCTGCTGCTGCTGCTGCTGCAACTACTACTGCTGCTGCTGCTACTACTGCTGCTGCTGCTACTGCTACTGCTACTGCTACTTCTACTGCTACTCCTACTACTCCTACTACTCCTACTTTACTATATTCGTCCGCATACTATGGGCTATATGGTCCTCATATGCCGAGGTTCGCCCCAGGTCAACACGCTGCCGTCGGCTTTGAGTGCCGCAAAGGCGCCCTCGGTAGCTTGCACCTGCTTTTAGGTTTAGGGTTTTTACAGGTTTATAGGGTTTAGGGACAAACCCGTTGAACGATCTAAGCCAAACTGGGTATTCTTTGTGGTTGCAAAGGGCTTGAGGATTTCAGGCGTGGAGGGTTAGGGCCTAAGTAGAGGGTTTAGACTTTACCAGTGAATCAAGCCCACCTCCACAAAAAAGTGATCACCTGCCGTGTACGGGTACCTCCCCAAAACCCTAAACCCCTAAAACCCTTGCAGTGCCTGCTCCACGCTATGGAGCTGCTTTTGGACGCTGCTGGAGTCGCCGCCACCCCGGGAGCCTGAAATTTCCCGATGCCCCGACGCCAGCACACCAGGAGTTATTTGGGTTTAAGGGGTTCAGGGTTCAGGGGTTATTTAGGGTTTAGGGTTGAGGGTTTAGGGTTTTTTGGGCCCTAAAAAATGGTCTAGGATTTAGGGGTCTAGGGTTTTCGGGGTTTTGGGTTTCGGGTTTTTTTGGGCCCTAAACCCTAACACCCTAGACCCCTAAACCCTAAACCCCTAAACCCTAGACCCTAAACCTTTTTTTCAGGGTTCAGGGTTTAGGGAAGTTTAGAGGTTTCTTAACTTCTAGACTTCTACAAGCTTCCTCACTTCCCCAATAAGCCGGGGAAAATTAAAGGTGAAACTTTCAGATTGCCACTAAACTATAAGAGCCCAAACAATTTCAAAGGATTGGGTGTTGGAGAACTAAGCCCTAAACCCTAAACCCTAACTAAAGCCTTTGGAGAACTAAGCTTCGTAGGAGCTCTAAAGGGCTTTATAAGGAAACCCTGGATCCTAAACTGACAAAACTTTGAACAAACTTAGGTGCTGAGTTCATAAGCATATAAAACAAGTGTACACCTTCACGCCTATATAAGGGATCATATTATCCCAAAAAAAGTTTTTAAAGTGTACTCCTTCAGCTACTAAAGAAAAAAGAGCTAGAACCGGTTGTCCGAGATTCAAGTACACGGCGTAGGGCTTAGGGGAAACGGCCTATCTTCGGGTATCTTTTTTGAGGGGGGCTCTGCTCTGCTCTCCCTAAGCCCTAGACCCTGCGTCCGAAATGCTACGTGCAAAATCTAAGCTACCCTACACCCTAAACCCTAAACTACCCTAAACCCTAAACCCTAAACCTTAAACTCTAAAACCTAAACCCTAAACTACCCTAAACCCTGAACCCTAAAACCTAAACCCCTAAGGGTTTGGCCTTAGGGCTGCTGGGGTTAAGGTATTAGGGCTTAGGGGTTTAGGGTTTAGGTATTACAGGGTCTAGGGGTTCAGGGTCTCCTGTTCCTTCAGATGCCAGGACCGGGAAAGATCCTAAACCTCTAAACCCCGAAACGGTTCAGGGTTTAGGTTTTAGGATTTAGGGTTTAGGGCTCGAAACCCTCGAAGCGAAGAGCTGCGAAGCCTCACATCCTAAGCTCTGGACTCCCGTACTTCCC